GGTTAAGTAAAGGTTAATCCACGTCAACCTGGCTTTACACTGCTTTCTTGTTAACATGTCAAGTTCAGCATGCAATTGTAAATACAAATAACTGATCTGCAATACTTTGAAATACTTGGTACCTTGAATAAAGATAGGACATAGAATTGTTTAAGAATATGAGTTTACTCTTCAAAATGTAAGGGGTGGCAAATTATAAACACTTTGCTATCTATTCATTTACAGATCTTTTCATAACAATTTTTATTATACCATTTCATGTTTAATGAAGACAAATTACAAATATAGTTTAGCAAAAGAGATAAAAGCCCCACTTGAAAGATAAATGTTAAAATGTGGCTTACTGTTATTTTAAATATATATTTTTTAATTTTCCATGGTTCCTTAAATGTTTTTCTGAATATAAGAACACATTTATTTGCTAAAACACGTTCATAAAACTACCTATAATCCTACTACCTAGAGATAACCATACTTAATCTTACGGCATATCAATAGATTTGTAAATATATTTTTAAGTGATTATATTACATTGCTCATTAGCCTGAATTGTAAGTCTGACATATAAGTATACATGTGCAGGTGCACTCATTTTTTATGATATAATCCCATTTACCTATCAAGCAATGCTGTATGAAGTCTCACAAGGGACTTACTAGTTTCCTAGTTTTGTTAACTATTAGCATCCCATTACACTTTTAAAGATTTATTTATGCATACAGAACTGGGGTACAGGCTAGAGGTGCAGGGGTGGTAAGAGTATTCACCAGAGGCAGAATAGGGAGCAGGACAGGCAGATCACCAAGTACACTGGGTAAGACAAGAGAGGTCTGATGTGCCATATGGATCACCTCTGGGGCTGAGGATCGAACTCATACTGAAGCAGCTGCAGCTAGCTTGCAGTGCTGCACTTCAACCCGTTGAGCCATGAGGTTGGGCCCCAAATTATGTTTTTTAAGTAAGCAGGTTAGTGTGATTTTTTTTTCCCTGACTAGTTGAATTTATAATTAAAAAGGCAATGAAATGTTTTATCTATCTCATTCTTTTAAATGATGGAAGAAGCATAGCTAAAAATAGATTCTTTACAAAGAATTCTAGTGATACAATTTTGAGAGAAACACATAAGCTACTCAAATGACTGTGCTGGAGGAATATCATAGATGGGAAAAGGGAGTCTTAAAGAGTGGGCTAAGCCCTATAGGCTGATATTGGTTCTAGGGCTAAGATGAGGTGCTAGAACTTAAAACTTAACCTTGGGATCTTCAACACATTATAATAAATCAGAAAAATAAAACGTCCAAATGGCAATGATATTTTCATCAGATTTTAAAGTATACTATAGAACTATTTAAATAGTGGTTTACAACTTAAAATACATATTAAATAGCACTGCAAAGAACAAATTTAAACTAGCATGCATTGAGCAATTTTATGCTTGTTCTAACTGAAAAAAGGCAAAACACGACAAGTCAGTTTTAACAAAAAATAGTGAAGACAAGATATTTAATGATACTGACAAACACAGCCTCCCTGGTGGCTTGGGGGTGAAAGTCTCAGAGCTATCAAGTTAACACCAGCCACTGCAGCATGATTTTAATTCCTGTCCAGGGAGCTGACCCACGTTGTACAGTAGAACTTGTTTGTCTTGCCCACTGCTCCATATTCGGTAGATCATCTTGTTCTGCTCCCCATTCTGTCCTTGATGAATCACATCAACTCCCACACCTCTGGTCTACACTCCAGTTCTTGTATGAATTTAAAAAATGAAAAATTAAAAAACATGATTGACAAAACAACAAGGAGGAAAATAATTGGTAGCTATTTCACCTTACTGTAACTATGGTGACCAACTATAGCATATTAACTTGACACCTAACATGGAATAAGATTGCCTGAAAGCCTTTAAATCACTTTTATTTCATTATTACATTGTCAAGTGAAATAATACAAGAAATGTTTGCTTATTTCTATATGATTTAAATTGTTCAGTTGTAAAAGAAATTAAAGGCACAGTGTAATATAGCAAGTGTACTAGCTTTGGAATTAAAAAGGCTTAAATTTCAATGCCATTTCTACCACTTGATACTGAATTAAAGTTTGTTGCTTTATCTCAGCCTCAGTTTAATCACTACATTTGGGATGTCATAAACTATTTACATAAGAGTCTAGCAAAATAGTTGCCACCTAAGTACTTCCTAAGCATTCCCTTCAAACATAACAAGGTACACATCTTTAATAAGAAAAATGCTGTGTGCAAAGAACATTCAGAAGGGGAGGAAGTATTAAATCTTAATGCTATGGAGGTAAAAAATTTTTTATGTAATTGGTATTTGGAACTCTAAACACAAATAGCTTTAAGCTTTGTTTAAATGTATTATAATGCCACAGAAATTATCATTTTGTTGGAACTAAGAATCACATCTACCTATACTACAGCCTTGAATATTGATTAATTTGACATTAATTTTAAAAACCCTTCTCATGGTGGCCTTCTCATGGCAGTAGCCCAAGTGGCCAAGTGGCCAAGTGGCTGAGTCTCAGCACTATGAAGCTATCTGCAGCACGAGTTTAATCCCTGGCCAGGTGGCTAGTCCACATGATGTACCTGATCTCTCCTGTCTTGCCCACTGTTCCCCTCAGTAGTTTTTTCAGTCAGTCTGCCTGTTCTGCTCCCTACTTTGAAGAATCCGTTCACACTCTGCACCTCCCCCTACCCCCATCACACTCCTGCCCTACACCTCTGGCCTGAATCCTGGCTCTTGCATACATAAAAAAAAATAAATCTTAAAAAAAAAAAATGGAAAGCAGAGAAATGTGGGGAAAGAGGCTCCAGAAAGCGTGCATATTGGTTAACTATAGTCACTATAATTCTGTATAACAACAACAAAAGCAATAGCATTCATTTAGCTCAGGAGTTTCAAGGTTAGGATTCACTGATTCTGGTTGGTTTCATTCATATATCTAGAGTGCTGGAACTCAGGACTCTGCACTAGGCTGGTCTTAATTTGATGGCTTAATAATGGGACAATGCAACTTTATTTTTCACACTTCTTTCTCCTGATTTTTAATGCTTATCTTTGACCCTTTGTTTAGTTTCTCTATATTACACATACAAATGAAACCATCAAAGTTCATCTTTCTCCTGACTGCTTATTATGACTGCCTATTTATATCAAAGCACTGAAATACTCATGTAATTTATTGGCTACTGTACTGAAGGTGAAAAAGAATGTGAATGGGTTCTCATCATGAATGAATGCAGCTGAAAACACACTGGACCTGAGGAATATTTGAAGTGCTGAATTAAAATGAATTGCTTGATGATGGCGATACTATAGCCATCGGGTAGCATCAATTTCTCACATTTCAGATAAAGCTCCAGAATAACTGGTAGAAGTTAATTTACTGTTGTGATCTGGCTGATTGGAAGACCTGCAGCTCCTTGCCCCTGCCATGCAGCACTGCAGAGTATTATACCATGCAACATTTGCCTGGAAAAAGATCAAAATTCCTAGTCTGAAATGTGTATCTTTTTTGTACCATGTAAAATATATATACATAATGAATTGTGAAGCTGTAATACTAAAACAGTGTTACAAAACAATAAATCAATAAAATTTTATTTTTTTAAAAATTATTACATACCCCTTAGTAAAAATTTGTTGAATGAATGAGTGAACAACAGCAGTTTCAGAAGAACCAGGGTTATGTGAACTCAATACTCAAATTATCTATTAAAATGAATAGCTGGAAAAAGATTGTTCAATTTATGGCTTAGTGAGTTTAAAATGATGGCTTATGTTCAGAGCTGAAATCCCACATAGCAACCTACAAAATCTACCATAAACTCAAGACACATTGTCAAGTTTCAAAAAATTATTTTCTTGACTGTCATGCATCTAGGAAATACATAATCTCCAGAAATCCACTCCCCCCCCCCTTTTTTCCTCTTCTTCTGCTGCCCTCACATACAGTTGCTTTTTCTTTTGTATTTCTTGCCACAAATTCTTTGTGAAATGGCATGGGAAGCTCCAGGACAGTACCCTGCATGCAAACTCTTGTTCTCTACTGAAAAGGCAATTTTTGAGAAAGGAAAGGAGAAGACAACACCGTTATGCCAACAATATTTTATCCCTGCTCTCGTCCCATCCAACCAATAAAAAAAAAATGAATGTACATTTGTAAGATCGACACATTGATTTCATTAGATAAATAGTTAAATTTGTTACCAGACTACTTAATGAGTAGGACATACAGTGTTAGTTATATCACTGGAAAAGTATTCAACATGTAAATGAAGAGTGCAAGTTAAAACTCTGAAATTATAAATTAGGACAAAATTTCAAAAGATTTCAGTGTATGGGTGACATTTCAGTTGGCTCGGTCCTTAAAGGAATACAGAAAATAAGATGCTGATATCCTATGATCAATTTCCATTATGGATACAAAATAAGTAGGAAAAACAATGTGATTCTTAGGGTTTTTATAGCTGCATTATTCTGAAACTTGATATAAATGTCAGCATCTGAATATTAAATACATTGAGGAAGATCACGCGAATCAAACGCCCTTAGAAATTAAAAAGAACAACGCCATGGGAAATAATAAGGAAGCACACAACTCTTTCTATACAATTCCCTAAATTCATTTAAAAAAACCCTACTTGTGATTAAATTCTCTTTATTGTTACAACGTTTAGTATCTGGAAAGAAATGAAAAGACATTCAGAAACTACGTTTATCTTACCATGTAGCTGCATAACGAACGAAAACGTTTCAAAGAGTAGTTCTATCAATGGGTCAAAGAACCGCAGTAAAGCTCCACCTCCGGCCTCTGTAAAGGTGGAAAAAAAAACACCAACTGTAAACGTTGCCAGCTCTTCCGCAAACAATACCTGACGTCCGCGCCAGCGGAAACAGCGAGATTGGTCCGAGTCGCGCCTTCAGAAACGTCTCTAGGCTGTGCGACGAGACCGGAAGTGACGCCAAATCTGCGACGCCAGTGCCCGCCACCACCGGAGCGGGTTTTTAGTGGCACCAGAAACTACGAGCTTTCTTCGGATGGTGGCTGCGACGTTATCATGACTGGTAAGAAGTCTTCCCGGGAGAAGCGGCGCAAACGAAGCAGCCAAGAGTCGGCCGCGGCTCCAGCAGCCCCGGACTTGGTACCCGCCCTCGCCGGCAGCGGCAGTGGAAGCACCAGCGGCTGTGGGAGCACTAGCGGCTGCGGGAGCGTCAACTGCTGTGGGAACACCGGCTTCACTGGAAGTGTTACGGGCGGTGGGAGCAGCGTGGAGCGCAGCGAGCGCAGGAAGCGCAGGAGCACGGACTCTTCTTCTAGCATTTCGGGATCCCTCCAGCAGGTGCGTGCGCTCGCTGTCACAGCTTTTCGCAGCTGCTGCGTTTTCGGAAGAAAGCTGGCAGGGAGTGAATTGTGGTAGTAGCGTGAAGTGACCGGTGTAGCTCACTCACTGATAGAGCTCCGATTCCAAGGTTCCAGTCGTGCTTGAGATTCAAGTCCTACATCTCGGTAAACCCCCTACCCCCATGTCCTGAACTTAAGGTTTCTGTATGTGCAGATCATCTAACTTGTTTTCCTTTTGGTGCGTTCATTCTTCTGTCTTCCTGTAAAGTATGGGTCCGGAGTTAGCCTTAAATGCACTTGCGAGCCACAATTTACTTTGTCTTAATTTTCACCGTTTAATAGATTATGATTAACATTGCAAGACGAGAAAATTGAAAATCAGAGGTTTAGAATGTTAATCCATATTCTCAAAATTGTTAATAATAACTCCTGTATTGGAATCCACTGACTACAAAAGCAATGTTTATGTTCCATCAACGAGCTAGTATACCACTGTTTTTAAAAAATTGTGTGCTTACATTTTACATACTATGAAATAAATGCATGGACTCTTACAGTGTTAGGTCAGAGGGGAACGCGTAGAAGTCTTTTTTTTTTTTAACCCTCCCCACTAATAGTTTATACACCACCTCTTCATTATTCTTGTCAGATATGTGTAAAGCCTCTGCACAATCTTTATTGCTATATCACCCCCGCCTTCCATTGAATTGGATGATATTACTGTGTAGGGATGAGAATCTTTCTATATGCCGTACTTTATTTTTAGTATTTTTGGTTTAGTATTCATTGATGAATACTTAGATTTCCATTTTTTAAAAAAATGTATTTATGTATGCATACAGCACTGGGGTACAGCCAGAGCTCAGGTGCGGTGAAAGGATTCACCAGAGACAGTGAGGAGCAGAACAGGCAGATCAGGAAGTACACAGCTGAAGGGAGTCAGAAGAGGTCTGCCCGCCATGTGGGTCACCTCGGGACAGTGGTTGAACTCATGCTGAAGTGGTTTTAGCTTCTTAGTGCTGTGCTTTAACCTGCTGCACCACCACAGAGGGCCCAGATTTCAGTTTTATTGCAGTCATAGAGTTGACATGAACATCCCTGTAAAGACAGCTTTTGCAGGAAGGACTTTTAGTAAAATCGCAGAATGAAAATTGCTGTCGAGTTTATGCCTAAAAAATATTTGGTAGGTATCAACAACCAAATACTCACCAAAGAAGACTTTATATTTCAAACAATATATAAAAATGCCCATTTCTGCAGATTTGCATTACGCCCATTTAAATTTTTGTCAGTTTATTGAGTGAAATTATTACTGCATTTGCTTAAATTATTCCTTATTAATAAAGTGAATGTTTTTATATTTTTATTTGCCATTTGATTCCTTCTTATGTAAATTGCATGTACACAGACTACTCATTTTCTTTGTTCCATGCGTTTCAAGTTCTTATTGGTAAGTTTTGACTGCATAAATTCTTGGTACTAATCCTTATGTAAGATATTTCACAAATGTTACTGTGATTTTATATAAAGTGGCTACACATTTTTTCATTGCCTTCTGAATTTTGTATATTTAGAAAGATTTTTCCTATTCCAAGATGATAAAGCTATTCTGTATTTTCTTCAAATATTTTTTAATGGTACATCTTTAAATTGGCAGTTAATGAAAGCATAGACGATCATTTACTGTTACGTTTTCTTGCATGTAGCCTCACTGTTAATTATTAGTTTCAGACTGATTCTTAGAAAATGGCTAACAGTGAGTTTGGCTCATTTTCTTCAGTACAAATATTTGTTTTTTTCTGTTCTTTTGTATTATCTAAGACTTTTAGTGTAACATTGAATGGAAGCAGTGATAGTAGGTATTTTTTCCCAACCCTTTTTGTAGTGGGACCATTTCCAATGTTCCATTAATATTTGTCTAAAAGATACCTTTTATTAAGTTAGGGAAAGTATGTTCACTTATTAGTTCCCCTAGAGATGTAAATTTTATCAGGTGCTTTTATGTCATTCTGTTAAGATCACCAGTCTTCTTTAATATGATGATATAATTTAATATTAAGTCATAGATGAATTAACTCATATTGAGCTCTCCTTGCAGTACTGGAGTAGACCCTATGTGCTTTGTTTGTTATGCATAGGTAAAATTCAACATGGTTGCTTTTGTGTCATAACTAACCCCTACTTAGAATGAGAACTAGCTTATTTGTTTAGAAAAAGTCATTTTATTTGGGCATGTAGATTAATCTTAGAATTCTTGAGAATGCTGTTGTATCTGTTGTGCATTGAGTTCCCTATTACAAAATTTTGGTAGTAGTTTTATAAAGATATAAATCATGTGTACAGTTCAGTAGTTGTAAATATATAAAAAGAGTTATGCAGCCATCACTATAAGTAATTAAAGTATCTTTCTATTGCACTGCAAAGAAACCCTTATAGCTAATACTCTTCCCACCTGGTTCCAATTCTAGGCAACCAGTAATCTACTTCCTGTCACTATAGCTGTATAGTTCCCTATTTTGTGTGGATGGAAGCATATGTGGTCTTTTGTGACTGGTTTCTTCATATAATGTAATGTTTTTTCAAAGTTCATCCATGTTGTAACACAAGCAGTACTTCATTCTTTTTTGTGACTCACTAAATTTTCTGTATAGTTATGTCACGCTTGGTTTTCCCACTTATCACTTGAGGGACAGTTGGATTGTTTCCACCTTTGGCAATTATGATTAATGCTGTCGTGAACACGTTTCTGTGCACATGTATAGTTGCATTTCCCCTAGCTTATATTATCTAAGATTGGAATTACTGGGTTATCATAATTCTCTGTGAAACTGTTTTTGCAAAGCAGCCATACCATTATATTTCCTGTTAGTAGTGTACAAGAATTGCAGCTTCTCTACATCTTCACTAATGCTTGAAATACTTTGCAAGCCATCAGAATAAGAGCTAATCTTTACTTTTTCAGTCTAATTACCATAGAATTTTAAAAATGGGCCAGTTTTTAGCCTGCTTTTTAAATAACTTTACTAGGAAGTAAAACAAAGAAACCTACCTGGATAGATCATTCAGGGATATTTTTTCCAAGGAAATAATTTTTGAATTGATATCTGAATTTGTTAAACTTGAGAGTACAGTGTAGAAAGATGGGGAGGAAGACTGATACACAACAGTATGAAAGTTCTCCCTTTATGAGGTGAGGGGATAATAGGTTATATCTGAGTAATTTAAAGAAATCCATTTTGTTTGTTCGTGAACAATGAGCATAAAAACTCAGAATGGCCCTGTTACCAGAAGAGCACTGGAAGTCATACAAAACAAATTGGAGGCACCTCATGCTAGCTGTAGGGAGTTCAGTTAAGTGACTGAGAAATGATCTAGGTAAGTAGCTATAGTATATCTAGTGGGATAGCAGTAGAGTTGGCAAATTTGTGTAAATTTAGGAGATAGGAAGTATAATTGACATAAATGTCTTAATTGTCTATTTGAATTTGATTAAATTATGTAGCAGTTTTACAAATGATACTAGTTCTTGATAGGCAGCATACTTTACTATGTAGTATTTGTGATTTATATAATCTTTTTGCTGCTATTCCGTTTCCTTATATGAATTTTGAAAATTAAAATGCATACATAATATCTCTGAGTATTTTAATGTTTAAAAGTCTAAAAATTGTAGAAAATATTAAGTATTGAATATATTCCATTATTGTGTTGTAAGATATTATTTCTTCACTTTCTGTCAACTTCTAAGTTTATTGCAGTGTGGTGCATCAGAGAAAAAATTATTGAGCAATTAAATATTTTTCCCATGGCTTTATATAAACAATTGGTAAAAACAAGGACTTTGGAAATGTTTAAATAAAAAATTTATTAAATTGAAGTCTATGAACTATATATGCATATATGTACCATACATATCAATTAGTATAATTATTCTTTATGTCATTTAATTTTAGGAAACCAAGTATCTTTTGCCAACTTTGGAAAAAGAATTACTCTTGGCAGAACACAGTGACCTTGAAGAAGGTGGCCTGGACCTGACTGTATCATTAAAGCCAGTTAGTTTTTACATATCTGATAAAAAAGAAATGCTTCAACAGTGTTTCTGTATCATAGGAGAAAAGAAGTTACAGAAGATGCTCCCTGATGTGTTAAAGGTACTTCATGGCATACACTACCAGACTCTCCACATGACTAAGCATATACAAAGTAAAATGTGGCAGTCATTTTACTTAATGCATATTATATTTAGTGTTTTCAACTAAAACAAGCTACTTCAAAAATATAAGAAAAAAGGATTTTTGAAAACCAATAAATCACCTGGTATATTTAAAAATTTGCCAAGGATGAAAGGGGTAATTTACTGTATTTAGGTAAGGAATTTATTGCTCTTTGGAAATAATTTGGCTGAATGAATGCAAGCATTAGCAGTAACTGGGACCATGATGACTCTGGTGCTTTATGAAACAGTGTATTGCTGTAGGATGATGCACATTAATGTTGTTGGAAAAGTCATGACTTATTTTTTCTGTAGTTCAAGCAAAAATTGCCTATACTGCAACAACCCAATAGCTTATATTTCATTAATTTACAAGTGTTTCATATACTTATTTCGAAAATTATTTAGAGAAGTACATTATTTTATTTTTAAATATGTATTTATTTATGTATACAAGAACTGGGGTATAGGCCAGAGGTATGGAGAATTAAGAAGATTCACCTGAGATAGAATGGGGAATAGCATAGGCAGATTGACTGTGAGACACTGCTGAGGGGAGCAGCAGGCAAGACAGGGGAGATCTGTGCCTGGCCTGGGATTTAACTCATGCTGTAGTGGCTGCAGATGGCTTCTGGTGCTGTGTTTTAACCTCTTGTGCCACCAGGGAGGCCCCCAGAAAAGTACTTTAATTTTACAGTAGTGGAAATTGGGCTTAGGCAAGTTAAACCCAACATCATTTATTTTAATAAAAAGGCTTGAATAGAAAAAGGGCTTGAATATTTAAACCTTAAACATCATATATTTTAAAAAGGCTTGAATATTTAAATCTTTTGAGGAGTTGCCTGGCACAAAGACTGCTGTTAAACAATATTTAGACATCGGAACCTGACTTAACCTTTTACTTCATTCTTTTACAATAAGCTGTCTTTTTCCCATTCACTGTCAAATATAATGGTCACATGTTAACTAGCTTAACAGCCCATAGAAGAATTTATGTGGTTTTAATGTTAAGATTTTGCTAACAAAACTTTTTTGGGATTGCTGTTTTCTAGTTACTTTAGTGCTATGTTACATAAATGCATTTTTTAAAATTCATTTTCTTTAGAACTGTTCAATAGAAGAAATTAAAAAACTATGCCAGGAACAGTTAGAGCTGCTATCTGAAAAAAAAATCTTGAAGATTCTTGAGGGTAAGAATACGTATTTCTACATTTTGATAACATTGTTTAACACTATGTTCATCAAAATCCTAGGTATTTATGTTTTTTCCTTACTTGAAATTTATCTATATTTTGTTATTGAGTAATCACTGAAAAATATTTTTATTTCTATTTGTGCTAAGAAATATCACTCACATATTATAACATTTCAAGAATGGACTTTTTGATAATGTATGCATCTTCCAAATCAAGCTTACAGGTTAGCATATAAGGTTATACACCATAATAAATTGAAATAAAAAATGTTAATCCAAAATTCTATAGAAAATTAATTTTTGAGAAGACAGAAACTTCTCTTACAATTATGCATTTGCTTCTTTATATTCTCAATTTACCTGAAATATCACTCCTCTTTATGATCCCATTACTTGTAGAATTTTGTTTTGTTTTTTTTTGCTTTTGTAGCTTTAGAAGTATTGAGCTTTAGCATCATAAGAAACGAGGATGGAGACTTTCAGTGTTTACAGATAACATCCTTTTTTAAATAAAATGATTTAATGGAATTTGTACTTGCCATAAGATGTATACACATTTGCATAGTCTAAAAGTGTAAATATACACATTCAGTCATGTGTATGTGTATGCATTTAAATAATAGGTATAAGGAGGCAATAAGAAATACCTAATAGTCATTAAAAACTCTCTTTAAATACAAGCAATTAAAAGTGTCATCTTTCTTTGAACATATCTTTTTTAAAGATAACTACCTTATATATAATGATTTTAACTTTTTATGAGCATGCTTTTAGTTTTGTTTTATTTCATTTGTAAGGTGACAATGGTATGGACTCTGATATGGAAGAGGAGGCAGAAGATGGCTCTAAGGTGGCATCCGATGTAGTCAATCAGTAAGTTAAACTTTAATTTTCATTTCAAAATTTCTTTGTTTTTCCTTTGATGATTTCTTACCCAAGAATGTGATTGGTTTCCTGTGTTGTATGTATATAAAACAGTTCAGCAGTGTAGAAGAATTGATTCGTTTACTTGTAATGATTGGTCATTTTGGTTATATATGAGGACAGAGTTAATTACTTTCAGGATTACAGTAATTTTCTTAAACTTCTAGTCATAAATATAGAACAACAGCAATGCCACATTGTAGTGGACTCATATCTCATTTAGAATTTGTATATACTATCAGTGGTATACATTATTAAGTAAGGATAGTATATTAAGTACTTACTCCAAGAGGAGTAAATAAATTCGAATACTTACCTTACCAATTCTACTCTATACTGAGGAATGTGTGTATTTCTCACATGGATTTTAGCTTTAGCATCATAAGACAAAAAGGGAGACTTGATTTCTAGAGATAAAATGTCTTTTAAATTTCATAGATGAAATGATAAGGTGATTCATTTTATATAGACACAGGTAATTTGATTGTTATGATGATAAAAAAGTGCATAAAGTTTTTGGGCACTGACTAATCAAGAAGCCACATGCTGTTTTCCCTTTAGATTTTTCTATCCTGATGTTTTCTTGTTACCATAGACTGATTTGTATATTTCTGTAAAATGCGGTAACTCAAATAGGAATAGATTAATTGACAGTAGCATAAATAAGTAGTAGCACATTGGTGAACATACCTAGCGGAAAAAAATCTATGTTGTGGGGGGTTAAAAAAAAGGATGTAAAATAATGGCATGTCATTAATAAAAAAAAAGTCACATTTTTTCATCCAAAATCTTGTTTATTATTTTCTTTTCTACTGGAATACTAATGGTGAATGTCACTAAAAACAGCTGATTTCATGTTAAAACTGTAAAAGCCATCATGTATTCTACTTGAACTGAAACATTCAAAAACTCATATTACTTGGGTGCTTCATAATCAGTGATTTTTGGCCATCCCATTTGGACACATAGGCCTATCATAGGACAATTTATACTTAAGTACATAATAGAAACTACACATTTGTTATTGGGTTCTCTTCAGAATACTTGTCTGCCAATTATTTAGCATCTACAAAGCTTGCCACTTTTTAACACCTAAAAAATTTCTTAAATTATCTAAATTGGTCATTTTGTTTCTTTTTTTCTAAGATTTATTTTATTTATTTATGCATATAAGAGCTGGGTGTAGGCCAGAGGTATGGGGGTGAGAAGATTCACCAGAGACAGAACAGGTGAATCTACACTGCTGAGGGAAGCAGTGGGCAAGACAGAAGAGGTCTGCCACGCCATATGGGTCAGCTCCCTGGCTGGGGATCAAGCTTGTGCTGTAGTGACTGTGAAAAGTCTCATAGTGCTGAGACGTAACCGATGTGCTGTCTTTTCATTTCTTGATAGAGAATTCTGAGTTGCATTTTTGCTTGGCATTTGTTTTGTCTTTATTCAAATCTATTAATTTTTCTGTCTTTGAAAAGTCAAGATTAATGCTAGATTTTTCATACTTGAATACTGGTGTTATCTTTTCTACTGTTAAAAGCCATTTAATGGATAGCCAATTTGATTAGAAATTTAATTCTTTTATGAGATGTTATGATCTCACAGTGTTTGACTTCTAACTTTATGTAATGGAGAAAATGGTGAATAGATTTAAAGTGACTGCATGAAAAAAACATGATGTGCTTATGAGACAGGTCATGTTAACTCTTTATGCTGCAGTGAGCAGATTGAACATTCACTAATATTATCAAAAATTGGCATAATGCCACTATCGGTCTGATAAGTGCCACATCATTGAGATTCTTGTGAATTATTTGAGAATACAGGCATTTTTAAAAAGAAAAAACCAAATTTCTTAGCTGTCAGATGCCAACATAATATAATGAGCTAACACTTACTGAGCATTTATGCCAGACATATGCTGATTACCTAATATGACTTCATTCATTCCTTGTACAACGGTCTTGTGAAGTAGGTGGTACTAGCATCATCATTTAATAGATGGAAAAGTAAGGCCCAAAAATGATTTGTGTGCCTGCCATGTGTGAGTATGAAAGTAAGAGACAGTGATTGTTATGAGAAAGGATAGGCTTTCACGCAAATGGACCTCACTTTGAAACACTTGAAATTCTGTAAGATTAATTTTCATTTGTAAAATGGAGATAATCTTTGCTTCATATAATTGTTTGGATGAAAAGTTAATGACTAATGTTTTTACTACTTTGTTAATGTAAGTAACAATATTATATACTGCAATGTGAAATAGTAGAAAGTGGGAAAGCGGTAACATAGCAATGTATTGAGTTTAGCTCAAGTTGCTCATATTTCTTTCTCTGTGTTCTTTCTTGGAAGCAATAGAATATCCTAATTTAGCAAAGTTTGGAACCAAGGAAGAGTATCAGAGATTTTCAGTTACCTTTGTATGTGGAGGAGAGAATGTAGATAGGGAACTTTTCTCTTTGGTGTATTGAGCAAAATCTGAGGCACCAAGTAAAGGCAGTGATTTGCCTTTTCTCCATGTCTTAGGCAGCCAGCATCTAAGAGACAGAATCCTTTGAGTTTTATTGGAGTGTTTGACATCTTCCTGTTTGTTTTGTGCTTATAGTTGATTCTGTCCTGCTTAGTGTATAGAGAGAAATTGAACTCATGGGCAGACCCATAAAAATCTTCCTTTCCTTAACAGATTAAGTTGGTTAATGTATTTGGTGCTTAGTGCTAACAAATTCCATGTTGTCTATTATATGTTGGTTTTCCCCCTTCTGGTTGATGCCAGTAGTCTAATCTGTCTGGATTCTGAGGAACAGTCAATGATAGTAGGCAAGGGACAATTGTACAAGTTCTATGACTTGAAAGAGGAAATCTAAGTGGAGTAAGCACAGGAATAGTCTGGAGCACAGAATTTATAGAATATAGGAAAGTAAACCTATGGGAAGAAACGAACGAAAAATTTAAAAGAAATAGAATTACAGCAATTATAATTTCTGAAATTAAAAAATAATTCTAACTTAAGGAGACAGACTGATGAAGAGATTAGTTATAATTGGACACTAAGTCATTATATTGAAAAATTAAGTTAGTTAAAATATACAAAGCAATCGAGAAAAATGCAGTCACAAAACTACAGTTTTGGGATATAGTTTGACATCAGGATGTAAGATGCATTGTTTTTTCTTAATTACTTTGACTCTGGCTTTTTGTCCCATAGAAATTTTAAGATTTTTCTTGTCTGTAAATAATTGTAATTTTGATCAGGATCACTTCTATCTATGTATTGCTTTGGACAGTATGGTCATTTTAATAATAGCAGTTCATTGCAAGCCATGCACACAGAATATCTTTCTATTTGTTGTATCTTCATTTTCTTTGATGACATAGTTTTCAGTTTACAAGTCTTTTATCTCTGTTTAAATTTATTCCTAGATAGTTTAGTCTCATTGGTGGAATTGTAAATGGGATTGCAAACTTTTCTTTCTGATCATTTGTAATAGGATATAGAAACAATAGATTTTTGTGTGTTGATTTTGTATCCTGCAACTTCACAGAATTTGTTTATTCAGGAAGATTTTCAGTGAAGTGTTTAAGGTTTCCCACATAAAATGTTAAGCCATTTATAAATAGTGATAGTTTTATTTCTTCCAAGCTTGGATGTCTTTGTTTTTTTTCTACAGTGTCTGGCTAGAATTTCTAGTACTATGCTTAAAAAGTGAAATGCCCCTTTTCTTCTTTCTCAAGATTGCTTTGACTCTTTGGGTTTTGAGAGTGAGCATCTTTGTCTTGCTCTTAGCCTTAGAGAGAAAGTTGTAAGCTTTTTACTACTCTGTGATGTTAGCTGTGGCCTTTATTATGTTTAGGCATGTCTCCTCTGTTCCCACTTTGTTGAGAATAGTTGTAATAAATACATATTGAACTCTGTTCAAATGCTTTTTATTCATTTGTTGAGGTTATTTGATTTTTTAAGCTTCTGTTCATGTGTTGTATTACCTTTATTTATGTATGTTGCACTTTCCATCTTTGCCTACCTGGTTGGTGGTATAAATTCCTTTAATTTTGTTGTATGTTTTTTTTTTCTGTGCATTGTGGAATTTATTTTCCTAACATTTTGAGGATTTTTAAAATTTATGTTCATTAGGAATATTGGCCTGCAGTTTTCTTTGTGTTCTGACATCCTTATCTGGCTTTGATCTAAGAGTAATAGTGGCTTCATAAATGTGAGTTTGGAAGAGGTCCCACTTCTTCTGTTTTTTCAACTAGTTTGAGAATGATCAATATTAATACTTCTTTGACTGGTAAAAATCACCATTGAAGGTATCTAGTCCTAAATATTGTCTATTGAGAGGTATTTCATTACTGATTTAAAACTTTTTCTCTAACATTGCTTGTTTCTAAGATTGATCATTTTCTTCTACTGTATTTATTTATTTTAACTGACTGATGGATTTTAATTCAGAATCCAGTTGTAGTTTGTAGTTCATGTGCTCAATTTGATTGTTAATATCACAAAGCTGAGGTTAAAAAGAAACTTTAGCTTTGATAAATTAAAGCATAGTGATTAACCCAGGGAACTTAGAACATATTTTAAAGGAATTAAAAGAAATAAATTAAAACAAGGTTGGAAAAATATAATAACAAAGAAGGTAAGGACTAAAAATAAAAGAATAGGAAACAAAAACGAATCGATAAATTCATAAACTTGATCTTTGTTAGGACTGGAACATAGTCTCCCCTCAGGTGTGTTTAAAGGAAAGTGTAGAGAACAATTATAATTAAGATTAAGTAGGAAGAAGAGATAACCACAGACGATTGTGAGCTAAAAAGAATAATGAAAATGCACATGCAGCAGTTTATAAACAGATTATAAACTTGAAACTTACAAATGAATGGTTTTCTGTCAAAATACAAATTAACTAAACTGAACCCTGCTAAAAGTAGTAAACAGGAAAATATTAACAAAGAAGAAT